TGTTTTGGATCCATTACTTATTCAGGTAAATAGGAAATGGTTTTGAAATGTAACATTTGTAAGGCTGTTTTTATATCTTTCCATATCCTCTTCCCAAATTCCCATGGATAAAGTGTTACTTTTCATTCTCCGTCAAATAAATAACATGTGAGTACAACCCCATTGTGTATTAAGTTTCCATTTTAACATAAATTCCTAAACTTTTCTTTGGCCGTAGTGCTGGACTGGAATGTTTTATAGCTTTGGCAGCATTTACAGTGGACTGATTGATGACCTGCAGGGCCAGACATTTAGAGAAAGTCAACATTGAGCTGATTTAATTTACATTTTTTCCCCTTTTTTTTTACTGACATTTAGAGCATTTCTTTTTTCAGCCCAAAGGGAACAGAGAATTTATATCTTAAATGGCAGCGTGAACCTTATGTGGTAACTGGATTTTGGTGAGGTGAGATGGTTGCAGAAGTATATTCTGGAGTAGGGGATTATTATTACATGTACAAAGAACATCATGGTCGTCATCAATTTGCCTTTGTCTGTCAGAAACAAAACCACAAAAACTAGACCACTGATTTCCAGGAACCTTCAAGAAATGTGGGTTCCTAGAAAGGAGACTGGTTCCAGGTGGTTGCAGAAATGTTCCATTGTAGTTCCAGATTGCACCCCATATAGCTTTTTTAATTTATTTTTTTTATCAACTTATTATCGTCTGTCGGTGTGGTCAACAACAAAACTTCTTATAAATGGTTATTTGTAGGAATACATCAACCATTTTGTTTTATTTTAGAGCCCAGAACAATTATATAGACACACTTACGTATACTATGCTAAACTTCGGTCAATGAAAAAAACCCATATATAGCTGATATTTTACACCACAAACAAACAACAGCCAGAAGCCATTCATTGGATTCATGCTAATTTCTTGGCTCTCTCTTAGAGGTATATATACATACTTAGAGGTACATATATATATAGGTGGTGGCAGGCGAGAGTATATATATATACATATACATATATACATATATATATATGTATATACATATATATATACATATATGTGTATATATATACACATATATACATATATATATGTATATATATACACATATATATGTATATATGTGTATATATATACACATATATACATATATATGTGTATATATATACATATATATATGTATATATATACACATATATACATATATATGTGTATATATATACATATATATATGTATATATGTGTATATATATACATATATATATATTACTGTTTCTATTCAACAATAATTGTTTCTATTGTTGAATAGAAACAATTACATTAAAATTCTCAAAATGAACAGACATATCAGTTTGCAAATTGTGTTTTAGGGTCATAGGTAAATTTATCAATTTTGAGTTGCTCTTAATTATAATGGCTGTCTGTCTCTACACTGTGTTCAAATGTCCTGTGAGTTGTAACAGAAAATATTCTTCCAAAGTGGTTAAAATGTGCAACTGACCATGTTTTCCGAAGTCCCGTTACTTTTTTTGGAAGATGGAAAAGTAATTCAAACCTCAAATGTATTAGAAAAAAAAAAAGAAGAAAGAATTTAAAAGAGAATAAAAATACACACAAAAAATATAAATATGTTGAGCTGCAACCACACGTTTTCATATTTCACAGGAATGACACACAACTCCATGTTTGTCTCTTACTGTGGCCGACCCTGACTACGTGTTTATGTTTTAAACAAAGTTTACATGCTTGTTAATTAAATAATGAAATTTCAAGAAATGCTCCCATGCGGAGACAATGAAACGTCTCCTGGAATCAGTCTCTGGTGGTCCACCACAGTCAGAAAAGGTCTAGAACACTGCAGGCAGTGTCCAGGCTCACACAGACATGGGTTCGTAGGTGTGAAAGTGGATTCCTTTCGAGCAGGTGATCTTCATCACGGCCCCGTTTAGACCGGAGTCCGTGACCAATCGCATCATGCCCTCTGCTATGAAAGATGGCCTGTGCAAGAGCACGGAGAAGATAATGATGGAGGGAACATAAGGGCAGGAAACAAAAAAAAAAAACTGTATTAAGCTCTATAGTGTTGCATGTTGTATGTTAGCCAACCGAAATTAAAAATCCAAAAATCCATCTATCTATCTATCCATCATCCATTTATCTATCCATCATCCATCTATCTATCCATCCATCATCCATCTAGCTAGATGGATCCATCTATCTATCCATCTATCTATCTATCTGTCCGTCCGTCCTTCCATCTATCCATCCATCCATCCATATGTAAAGCAAAAATAGTTAAGAAACATCAGTTTCAAACTCACTGTAAAACTCCAAACTTGTTCATACTGTGTTTGAAGTCGTCCTTGAACTTGACAAACTTGCCCATGTTGTCCTCCAGCTCCACTGACTGCAGCAGAGGAGTGTCCACGAAGCCCGGACACAGGGCGTTGATGCGAACACCGTAGTCGCCCCGAATGGAAGCATCCTGGAAAACACACAAACCCCCCCCCCAGCTGAGTTCTTAAACGCCTTCAAAGGGTTACAAAACCTGTGTGCGCGTGTGTTCCTTACTGCCATAACTCTAGTGAAGCCGATCACACCGTGTTTGGTCGCAGTGTAGACGGGCTGATGAGGAGAATGGAGGAAGGCTGGGGGTCAAAAGAGAAATGACAGACTCCATAAGAACAGCAGAATAACAATACAAATAATAAGGATTTATATCTGATCAACACCCTGTAATCGGAACAACAGGTAACGTCTTTATATTGAATCTCTGCATTACTACATCACCATGTACTACTATTTCTCTGCATGTTCTGCATTAGGCCTTGCATCAGGTCACGTCTCTGTCTCGTATAAGGACTTCGTAGATTCCGCACCCAAAAATGAGTTAAAAAACAGCTGTCAGACCTAACTCAACTAAAATGGTGTTCCCTAGTGTTATCAACAGAGATTAATAAAATAAGCTACAATGCTGCCAAAGGAGTTAACAGTTACGGGTATGGGAGAGGGAGTGAGGAGATGTGTTGAGAGAGCGCGTGTGTGTATGAGGCAGAGAAAGTGCGGAGAGCGTGAGAGGAAGAAAAGGTGTTTTTGGAGAAGATGGGTTGAGAGACATAAAGGAGTTTAGAATTAGCTATTGCAGTTGTGCTTTAATAAAAGTTCTTCAGAGCACTGAGGCATCTGATTGGTCTGACGCCGGGGCATTACGCTATTTTTCGACACTGAGGCATCTGATTGGTCTGACGCCTTCAGGCTTTTTTAGAAACACAGGCATTGCGTTATCGGGTTTCAATTATCGGAGGAAAAACTTCTTACAGATAGTACAAAATACGATAATATCAGTCTAATAATATCGATCGGCCGATATTATCGGACATCCCTATCGGAAACACTTTAGGCGTTCGAGATTAAGCCTCAGGTTGTCTACATACTGCAAACATCTGCCATAAAAGTTCTGCAAAGTACTACAGTAGGGGGATCTGACAATGGGCTCGTTGTTGGTTAAGGACAATGAAAATTACGTTTACTTGTTTTGGTAAATCAGGCAGTTATTACGGTCGAGGAAATGACCTGTAGTATGTAAAGGTTTTACTTTTTATACTAGTGTAAAAACGGCGGCTGGAGGATTGCGATTCAGAAAGAAAAGCCGAATTACAAACCTTTAGTTCTAAAGGTTTCGTAATTGGATTCGTACAGCGCTAACTGATTTGATAAATTAACTCTTTGTTATAGTTCAGATTTGATTAGGTTCACACATACGTCCATGCACAGTATACACACACACACACACAGCCTTTTGTGTTGTTTGACCTCAGACCACTCCCCTCCCCCTCAGGCTTTTCCGCATGTTGCCGTTACAGAGAGTCATCATCTGCTTTTCATTATAGTCACGGACGAATAAAAACACAAATCCGCAGCAGGAGGGTTTTCATAGGGTATGAGTCTGCCATTCAGATGAGGAGCAGAACAACTTCACTTCAGGAAGATTATCTTGATTTTCCTCTCAACCACCTCAGCACGGAAAAATGCAAACAACAACCCCAAAACAGCTTTATAGCTTATATTAGAGCAAAATGTCAAAAGGTTTGACAAAAAAAAATAACTCAAAATTAGCCTAGTTATTATTAATAGTCAAGCATTAGCCCATAAATAGCAACACATCAGAGCTTTCAGTGGAGTTAGCGCTTAAGGAAGCAGGTCCGGAAGGCTTCAGGTTTAAGTCCACCAGCTGCCAAGTTACCACTGAGGTGCTCTGAGCATGGCACCGTAAACACTGAAAATGTACATGTTCGTTATTTTCACACTGACAGCCACTAGAGGGCACTGGTGCAACTTATACTCCGGAAAAGTTTCATTGAGCAATAATATCAAATTGGCATAATTTAGAATAAGAAAAACAGTGAGCTTGTAGGAAAGCTACAATTTAGCTTTGACCCTGGAGCAGATCACCAAGTCTCTCCTGTGCATTCCAACAACGGTCGGGGAGGCGAAGCATGAAATAGCTAATGTGTAACCAGCTGTGTTACAGGCACTGTTCGGGCTCAATATTCCGGAAATTCCATCCATCCATCCATTTTCATCCACTTATCCGTTACCGGGTCGCGGGGGCAGCAGTCACCATGACGGCCACCCAAATCACACTTCACCGTACCAACCACCCTGATCGGGATTTGATCTTGCCCAGGAGGTGAACCCTGGGGTTCCACACCAATGACAGAGACATAGCCTCTGGGCCAAAGCGCCACATAGTCCGGAAATTACGGTATAAGTTGCCTCTGGGCCAAAGTGCCACATATTCCGGAAATTACGGCATATATTTTCAAGAACAAATAGCATTAGCTCCCATTCCCTTTTAAATAAAAGTTCAGTTTTCTCATCCAAGCCCTGGTGTCAACCAAGAGGAAGTGCAGGTACTTTTTGATTTAAAAAAAAAAAAAAAAAAAAAAAACTTTGCTCAGTATTACACTTTAAATACTTGTTTATGTAAAGGTCAATGTTCTGGTTTTAAAAAAATCATTATCTGTGGCTGTTGGACACCCCTAACTGTTTACGTCATCTGGAGCGGAAACACGTCACAGAAAGTGGAGTTTGCAGTTAGTTATAATGTTGCAGTGAGTGACAAAGAATGAGTCACTCCCATACGTCTCTGTTCTCCCAGCCAGTTTACAGTAAGTTACAGATATGGGTGTTGATTGACAGTTTAACAGTGTGTACTACAGGTTGTGTGTATATGTGTGTGTGTGTGTGTGTGTTTGCATTTCCTCCATTCTGGTGCCAACACATTTCTGGTCGATTTGGAGCAGACCAATTCAAAAATCTGTCTGGCGATAACCATCTTTGTGTTTGTTTGTGCGTCGTGGTGTGTTTTGCGTGAATGTGTACTGTGTTCTTGCAGTCCTCATAACAAACACACTTGTCCAAACATGTTCCCAGCGTGTTGTTTCTGTGTGAAAGAATGTGCGTTTGTATTCACACAGGATCACACAAATCAGGCCTGTGTTAGTCTAACAGCATTTGACATACACAACAGTCGTGGCACATATGGAAGATGTCAACGTTAACGTTTTGGGTAGAGCGAACAAGGTCATTTGAAATGCATGTCAAATTAGCAAATACATATATAGATATATATATGGGTGGTTGCTGTTTTCAAATTATATATATATGTATATATATGTATTTAGGTCTTGTTAGTTTTTAGCATATCGGATTTCTTTAGTTTATTTTATTTGTCCTTGTCCTTATTCACCTACTTTCAAATATTTCAAAAATGTTAAGCCTTGAAAATAATTAATCTTACGGCTAACCTTTAGCCATCATCTTGGCTATAAATCTTCTCTGGATACTTTTGCCTAACTTTTAACTACTTTTTTGGAACCTTTCAGCACGTACCAAACTTTAAACCTTTTTAAACTTTGTTTCTTGTCTTTTTTTCTGTCTGCCAAAGTATTCATATAAAAAAAAAAAAAACGGTTTGTCTTTCAGACGTCTACGTCTTTATCTTTGAACTTTATTTAGTTTTTTGTCTTTTTTCTCTGTTAACGGATGTCTGTTTAAACGGCGATGTTCTCTATAAGGTGTCATCTAAGGAGTTAATTCCGTTGCCACAGTTCTCAGTCACTATGTGTCAGATAGTTCTATTTTTGTAGTTGAAGATAACTGATAGATAGTCTTACAGGGGACGTTCATTTGGCTAACCTATGAATACTGTTGTGATACTCGTTCCTAAACTAGCAATTTTTCGTCTTACTGATTAGTTTTCAATCAGTTTTAAATATTTATTGTTCAACATATAAATATATATATTTTTATTATTTCTAGCCAAACTATGCTTTCTTTTTTCTTTTTTGGCTCATTTAACTAGTTTTTTAGTTTTCTTATTTTTTTTATTCTTACATTGTTTACCTAAAGAAATAATTAGCTGTTTTGCAGTTTTAACAGCCGCAAGTATCAAAGCCCCTGTATTACTGAGCTGGGGAACATATTCTACAGTTCCTTCTGTGTTTTCAGTGATGGCCTCTCGAGGAAAATAGAATAAAACTTTTTTTTTTTCCGAGTTCTGAACTCAATCCATCAGTCACTCCTATAAATCAGTCGTGGTCTGCCGTACCACAGACCCATGCAGCCCAGGGTTCAGAGTCATAAAGTGTTCGGCGTGGTTGTTGTAATGAAGGTAAAAAAAAAAAAAAAAAGAGAACATCATAAATTCAGTGGGATTGTGTAGGAGCAGCATGTGCCAGACCCGGTAATCAGTTCCACATCTCCACCTGTTTACATTCAGAAAGAATCAAATCCTGCCTTTCAAACAGGGCAAAGGTTTACATCTGAATTCCACACCAGCACAGGCTGTGACGGACGAGCTGATCGTATCAGTTCCTGGCACCGCGTGCGGTTTTTAATTAGTGCTGTAAAAACATGCGTGAGTCTTTGTTTTCCCTGCGAAACGGTTCAACATGCAGGAACTTTAGAACCCCCGAGGAGGAAAGTATACAGGGCTTTCTAAGGAGAAAAATAAAAAGCAGAGAAAAAACACGAGCGAAAGGGAAGCGCAGAAGATGTTAATGTTGGACTGATCTTTAAGGTGGTTAACGCATTTAAAATTTTAATTTTAATTAATCACAGGATAGTCATGGATTATTCATGACTAATCATGATTAATTAGGAAACGCACGCTCGCTATTGAGATGGTGCAGTGTGTACAAATACTAACATATGCATCGACGGCGTGTTAGAGCAGCGGTCCTCAACCTTTTTTGGATCAAGGACCGGTCGGTCGGTATCAGTAGTACCGCGCCATCGGCGTACGATTATTACATTTCCAAAATAAAACATCTGTTAGACTTTATTCTGTTAGTATCAGAGTCTGAATGACCTATTGTTTTGAAACATTGACTGATTATCTTTGAATGAAAAAAGTAAAGGGATATGACTGGATTTTTTACGACTTAAGTAAATTAGTACATTTTTGTCTCATGTCTCACTTTGGCCTGGTACCAAATGACCTATGGACTGGCCCTGGTCTCCGGACCGGGGGCTGGGACCCCTGTATTAGAGCAATAATAAGTCAATGGATGGTGGAATTATCGGACAGACAGGGTGTGTCACTCTGCCCACGGGTTAAAATTAATTAAATTATTAATTATAT